TTTTTATTTATTTAAATTATAAATATTAATTTTTATATTAATTTAATATATTTAACCAGTGTATTAATTATATAAAATTTAATATTATTACATATATATTAATAAGTAGAGTTTTTTAATTAAAAAATTATAAATATTAAATTAATATAAATAAAATTTTTAATTTAATAAATAAATTTTAAAATATTTTACAATATTATTGATTTTCTAATTTTTAAACTCAACAATTAAATCTTAAACTATATGAGATTGGTTCAGTTCAATTTTTGGTAAAAAAGCCCTAAAACCTATTCGAATGCGAAACTTTCGATTTCAATTATTTTCAGGTGCAAAGTTCGCTGCACCCTCCGAAAAAGAGTACAATAATTTTTTTTTGGTTTTTCGTCCGATATCCGGGGCTTCGCCCCAACTAATCCGGACCCGACCCGCATCGCGCACCTGAAAATGATGAGTGAGTCTCCCAACGAGGGCTGCTGCGTTCACAAGGTCTCGAACTCAAGATCTTATTTAAACTGGAACAAATCGCTTACCACTTGATCCAACCCTCATTGGTAAAACAGTACAATAATTGCTGAATAATAAACGGTGGATTCCATGAGAGACAAATCTTTGCGGCAAAATAAAATGTACGTACGGAAAATTTGTTACTCGACAGAAATCAAGGCAAAATTTTATCTTTAATGGGATGTGGTCAATTATTGCAGTGAGACCCGTTGCCCAGATGCTTCTTTATATTTTTCATTTTTTTTCCTGAAATATTAATAATTAAAAGTTAACAGCAATGTAGAACGGATATTTTTTTTAAATGTGCCTAAAAATTTATATTTTTAATTAATATTTTTAAGAATTTAATTATTAAATTAAAATTTTTATTTATATTAATTTTTATATTAATGTAAAACTTATAATCATTTAGTTATAAAAACTCTATATTTTACGGTTAAATCTTTAATTTGGTATCTAAATTATTGTATAGATCTTTAATTTGATTTCTGAACTAAAAAAATTCATGATTTGGTCACTGAACTAAAAAAATCTCTGATTTAATCCCTAAATGATTGTACAGATCTTAATTTAATTCTTACTATTTACCAATTCATCTCAAGTTGATATTTTTGTATAAAAATCAACTTACGTGTTTTGTTATTAATGTGACACGTGATCATTAAATTACTATTTTTTAACGTTAAGTTATTATTTTTCAATATTAAGTTATTGTTTTTTATTATTAAATTATTATTTTTCAATATTAAGTTATTGTTTTTTATTAT